TTGTCGGTTTATATGTTTCTTATATTATTTACTTTACTTTAATAATCGATAAATGTATTCAGTGTAATACTCTTTTCCTAGTACTCCCTTTGGGGTATTATTCTATCATTCTAAATCATTAATAGCTAGATATTTATAATATTAGTTTAGACTATCGTTGCTGACAACTTTAATAGCATACAAACCATTCTTCTACAACATCTTATACCAAGTATTTCTATATCGATTCTCAGACTATATATCTTCGTAATATTATTAACAGAAAACATCAGTAAAATGTTATTCGATGAGATACAGCAATCGATGATGAAAACGTTTCCAAAGCTTTCCTTTTGAGAGAGTTTTTTGTTGTTATTCTGATTAATCAAATTGTTTCTAGTCCTAATGTTACCAGACTAGCTAATACTTTATTGATTAGTATATAAACCAAGAAGACTAGAATCATTTTTTCGATCTCGATCTTTAATCTTTTTCATACAAAAGTATTTTCAAACAAGAGAACCTTTAATAAATCCCTAGGTTTTGATCTTATCCGAATATCAAGAGACTTCAGAGAACCTTATTCGAATCTTCCGACATCTACAATTCGAAAAAAATATCCGATTTCGCTAAATTTACAATTCTTATCTATAGTGAAATCATTAGATATCTACGAAATCTCAATTTACACCTTCGAAATTGCCTATACCAGATCCTTAGAGAATGAATTGTTTATTTGCATTTTTCAGGAAATAGATTCATTACTTGATCAAAGACTTTTGGAATAAGATAGAGAAAATAAGATATCTACTATCGAAAAGGTTTTAATAAGAATTAACCAGAATCTTAACGAATCTGCCCTAAAGCTATTGGTTATACTTATTCTAGAAAAGTCTTTTACCCCTGATAAATATACCTCCTTCCACAATATTTTTAATAAACAAGAATCGAACATTTTGCCTCCTTATCGCATTTACAATCATATCATCACTTTCGAGAACTCAACCAAAACTAGCTTAGGCTGCTCACCTCTCTATAAGATGTCTATCGACAAGCTTAAGGCAGTCAAAACCTATCTAATTAACAATCTGGCAAAAGGATTCATTAAACTTAGTTAAGTACTATTTGCTGCCTTTATTCTATTTATCAAAAAAGCAAATGATAGTTTACAATTATATATTAACTATCACAAACTCAATGCCCTGATACATAAGGATTATTACCTTTTCCCCCTGATTGATAAGATTCTCATATATTTCCAAAATATTAAGATTTATACAAAACTTGATATTCGTTAAGTATTCCATTGTATTTGTATAGATCCCCAATCTGAAAAGTATATTACTTTTTGTACACAATATAGTTTTTACAAATATAAAGTCTTACTTTTTGATCTAATTAATGGTTCAGTTATTTATTAGTATTATATAAACAATATATTGTTTGATTATTTAAATGGTTTCTGTATTGCATATCTCAACGATATTTTTATTTACTCTAAGAACATCAAAAACTATAATGAATATGTATAGAAGGTTTTTATATATCTATACATTACCAGTCTACAGATAGATCTTAAGAAATCCGAATTTGATATTATTTGTATCAAATATTTAGGATTCATTATTTTCATCAATAATATAGAAATTGATCTTGATAAGGTGGCAGTTATACACAATTGGTAATACCCAACTACCCTGAAAAGAGTACAATCCTTTTTTGGTTTTTGTAATTTCTATTGATGATTTATATCTAACTATAGTGTTATTGCCTCTACTCTAGTGAATCTTACTTGAGTCAATATCCCTTTTTCTTTTACAAAGGAATACATGAATTCTTTCGATATCTTACGAGAGCAACTTACTTTTGCTCCCCTGCTACAGCACTATGATTACAATTTGGAAAGTATACTTGAAACAGATATTTTTGATAATATTATTATTACTATATTGTTACAAAAGTATAGAGAATAATAGTTGTTTGTAATATACTTCTCGAAGACTATACTTCCCACCGAACTTAATTACCCTGTCTATAACAAAGAACTGATTACTATAGTCAAGGCCTTTGGTTATTGGAGATCTGAACTGATAGGATTATGCTTTAATGTGAAAGTGTTTATTGATTATAAAGTATTGGAGTACTTTATAACCTTCAAACAGCTTAATAATAGATAAGCCTGTATTGCCGAACTTCTTGCTGATTTCAACTTTCTTATTATATATCATCCTGGCAAAAAGAACCCTCTAACTAATACTCTCTCTCACAAAAACAACAATATAGAAGTCACAAATAAACAAAAGAAAGAACAATGTATACTACTGCTATTCACACAAGATCAGCTTGATCCCCGTATCCGAATACTTTTGGAATCCCCTGATATTATTGCTTTTGAACACATCAGACCACTCATCAAGATAATAGATTGTATACTATATCTTAATAAAACCTCCAAGATTCTCTATGCTTTATACAAAAAGGTCTTGAAGTCCTTTTTAGACGAAGACAAGAAATCTCTATATATTATAATAAATGATCTTTTGCTCTATAATGAGAAATTAGTAATTCTAAGTATAGAAAATCTTTGTATATTTTTTATCAGAGATATATATATATAATTCTTTTTTGTATACCCAAATACTATGAAAACCTTGAAAATGCTTTCAGATTATTACTACTGGAGAGGATTAAGAGATAATATTACCTACTACATTTACAATTGTGAAATATACCACCGTTTCAAAATCCTTTGTGATAAGAAATCAGGACTTTTGAAACCTTTCAGTATACCACAATACCCTTGGCAATATATTATTATAGATTTCTGTAGTTTCAACAAAGATAAATATGGATATAACAATATCTTAGTTATTATCGATAGATTCATCAAACAAACCATTTCTATTCTTTATATTAAGGAATATAATGAAAAAGAATTTGCTAAATTATTTATGTATCACATTTATTGCTATTACAGTTTTCTTACCTCTATACTTTCAGATCGAGGTATACAATTCGTCAATAAGTTCTGGAAAGAGTTTTTGACTATACTTGGTATTACCCTGGTACATTCCTTTACAAATCATTTTCAAACCGATGGTTAAACAGAGATATACAATTAGTATTTATAGCAACATTTACACCCCTACGTCAACTACTACTAAGATGATTGGTTACATTTTCTACCATTTATAGATTATACATAATTAACATTACTTTACAATTCTTTAGATCAAATGACTCCTTTTGAAATCTTTTATGGATACCCTCCTCGTATCGAATGGGATTGGAAAGAATACAATTCTGATCCTCTTGACAAAATCAATATTCAGGAAACCCATGAATTCGTTATTTGTGTATATAGTATATAGGAATTTGTTTGCAATTAAATCTAATATACTTAAGATCGAATAACCCAATAATATAACAAATACTGCTATAAACCTAACTTCAAAGTAGGTGATATGATATGGTTGGATTCTCGATATTACAAAACTCAGTGTCTTTTCTGCAAGCTCGATTTTTTTATTATTAGCAAATACGAGATTATAGAGAAAATTGGATAGTTGTATTGATTTGTATTCCCAGTAACAATACATATATTCGATATGTTTCCTTTCGAAAAACTTTATTTTGTACTGGAAGATCTACTTCCAAAACAAATTAATCCTTCGTTATACCCTATAAATATCATTAGTAAAAAAGAATAGAAAATAAAGGATTAACTTCAAAGTTGCAATATAAGAACATTTTCTATTAAATCTCCTGGTTAGATTATCTTCTGAATGTTATATGGTATAGAGCAGATAATTTTAAATATTCCCTTTACAAACTTCAAGCTTATCACTTTAATTATTCTAGTCAAGTAGGATCATTTATTGCCCTTATGGCATAGATAGAAAACCATGATAACAGAATTGACAACTATAATGAAATCACAGGCGATTTATTTATGAAAGGATGTGTGAGGTTATGCTTTTTCGAAAAAGGGAATAATATAACAGAACAAATGGCTCTTTTCTGTTTACTGACTTATATTATATATATAGTATAATATGATAGCTCTTTTGAACCTTTCTTTCACAGCTTAAAGCTCTAGCTCTACAGCTCTAGATCTAGGCATCGTACAATGCCTATCTCTAGGACTCTTTCACTCTTTTGGGCCTAGCCCTTATGGCACCCAATACCTGTATATATAGTCCTCCTTTTAGCATCCTACATAGCTCTTCACTTGTAGATTCTAAGTACACAATCGGAGTCCTGTTTATACCCTTTTGGTCACATATAGTTATACCTCACACCTCATGCTATGACCCTAGTGATATTCCAACAATACTATAAATTAAATTTAATAATAAAAATTTGGTATATTCAAAAAAATATCAAAATAGATTCGAAAATAATATATTTCGATAATTTAGGAGAAATTACGCGATAATCTTGGGGTATTAGATTGGAGGTGCAGGATGTTTTGGGGGGCTGTGGTTCTATATATGCGATCGATATTGTTAGTGAATGATTTAAACGTCTCGGGATGTTGAAGCAGCAGAGATTGGTTAATGAGTGCTTGAAGGAGGAGGTTAAGGGATGGTATGGTGTTCAGTTGAAGACTAAAGCTCCTTGATTGGTTTGTCGGAGAGAATATTCTTGTCAATTTGATGAGGATTAATGTGCAGGAGGTCTGGTAAGATCCAGAATATACACATGGTAGGGCAGTCATTGGACTGGATGTTGAGACAGATATGGTAAAGTATTGTATTATATTGTAACTCTTATGGGATTTCATATCACATCTATATAAATGTATTCAGGCTCAGAGTATGCCACTTTCGAAGAACGATTCTATCACTCCCAAGCATACTCCCCTACCTTGACTTATAGAGTAGAAACATTGATGAGAATAATCCGTGTGAGTCAAAGTCAGGAATAGGTTTGTACGATGGATTTAACCACGCATGATGTTATACAAAAAAAAACACATTGATAGATATTGCCAATAAACAGTCATGTGACTATACAGATCAAGGTTTTGATACCGGGATCATTGGTCCTTCCGGTACATAATCTTCCGGCATTTCTACAGTAACATTAAGATCAGGACGCATCTTAATACCTTTCAAGAAAGAACACGTTAGTAATGTTTCATATAGGGCGATGAATATTTCTATAGGTTGAACATACCTGTAATCTTCCAGCCATTAAACTCTCCAATCGAACGTTTCGTAGAAGCCGCAGTAGCGAATTCAATATCACAAGAAGTGAAGGAAGGAATCATTCCGAACCCTAGGCAACAAGTTAGATCAATCCCTCGGACGGAGCTCAAAGCTACTTACCTCTCCCACCAATGGTTTTACCGTTGTAACAAAGACCATTGTAATTATAGGCATAGATTTTATCTTGATGGAAGGTATTAACTGCACATGCAATTGTGGTCAAATCGTTACCATCGGTCCCGGGTGAGAACTGTCCTGTGGATGCAAATGTCCAGCTTTCCGCGGCTCCTGTCCCAGATGTTGCCCAGGCTGCTCCGTCTTTTGCACTTGATGGAGTGGCGAATCCAAATGTGAAGTTACGCTTGTACATGAAACTGAGCTGATTGTTGAAATTCCAGTCCTTTTTTTAGAATCAGTATTGTAGTGTGACATGATAGTTAGGCATAGTTATACTTACTGCATCGGGTACAGCCGCATGTGGTTGTGCGGTTGGATATTTTGAGAGTCTCTGAGGAGGGATTGTTTGACCGTTGAATGGATTTCCAATCGTCTCCCAAGTGTTGTCAGCTCTGCCAGAACTCCAGACTACCCAGTTATCGGCGCCGTTATCAGTACCAATAGCTACACGGGCATCTCGTTCGAAGTAGTTGACATTGGTTTGTAATTGACTCAATATTTCTGACAACTGTCAGTATCTCATCATCACGCATATTAATTGGGATACTCACTGTTGCAATTTCCTTGAAGAGTATTCTGCCATGCAGGAACACAAGTTGCTGAAGCTGCTTTGCCTTGATTCGTGTAGAAATTACCTCCTTCTTCGGCACCAGCAAAGGGGAATTCATCGCAAGAGATCGCAATCGTGTTGTCTCCGATCAGAGTTCGCAACCCCGTCTGAGTAGGGTTACATGAATGAGCTGTGTCACAAGTCTCACCACGTCTACTATTTGTCCTGCCCGAGTTCGGATCCCAGGTGAGTGTAACTCCACTGTTGGCGAAACTATAACGGGTGTACCAACTTTGGACTGGTGGACAGATACCGGAAACAATCGAGGTGGCTCCGGTATTTGGGTTCTGTAGCTGTGAGTCTTGGAAGATTAGGCAGTTCACTATAATTCTTGGTCAGCAAGTGAAAGAAATTATCGGAGATTAGGGATATTACGTCGGTAATCTGGTAGTGTGATTTTAGCAGTGTCACCAGCAGGACAGGTAACTCCATCATTTTGAGTAAAATCCGGAGCGTCAGTCATAGAAGTGTCTGTATCTGCCCGCTTTCCAAGTAGAGACTCAATATCAAGCGACGAATTGTATGATGAGGGAGATGCGTAAGAATCGGGCTTTGAAGGACTATCAAGAGGAGAGAGTTTGAGACGGGGCCAATCGAGGAGACCTCGTCGTGAAACATAATGGTCATCTTCCTTGGGTGAGTCTATGCTTCTCTTATCAGCAGTAGTACTGATGAATGATCCTGTTTGCTCGAAGATCTTGAATCTTGGTGAAGGACTGTAGGCATATCGATTTTGAGCTGCCCAATTTGCAAACCCCTTGACAGAGGCAACAGCACCGTATCCCAAATTGTAAATGAGATAGACACCATAGCTATACGTTAATGTAGGATCAGTAGTTGATCCAGCTGTTCCGACTACTGAGGCTTCGAATGATAGGGAGGAGTTGATGAATCCGACTACTTGGGCATTGACCAGAGTTCCTGAAGATAACGGACCTCCAATTTGGATACCCATATTTGCCTTGTGATGAAGTCAGCATTTGATATAATAGTAAACTGGTAATATGATCCTCAGGGCTTGAGACCAATTGGATTTACATACCTCTGGAGTGATGATGATTGACATTGATGCATCCATTCGAACCTTGGCATCAAAACTTGGTGTGACCAGGTCTGTTGCTGGATGACTTGGTTTCGCGTCAATTCCAACAAGTGATTGATATTTCTCGCTACTTGCATCATCTTGGGGCCAGAAGACCTCGGCTTTATCAAAATTCAAAGTAGCTCCTGCTAACATTTCTCCTTTCAGAGTGATTTTGCCTCTGATCTACAAAAACAATGTTAGATGTGAATCGATTTAATCTTAAGTTCAGTAAATTTCGTCAGATGACTTACCTCGCCCCACAAGTCCAAAGTCGGTCCAACGGCTGCGATACCCTTCAAACTCAATCCGGGATATGAAATAGTGTCCAGAATCTTTTTGCGATACTTTCCTGGTGGCGTTTGTAACTGTGCATTTCCAGTCATCCTCAGACCAAGGTATGCGCTAGGTTCTAATCCAAAGTACGCGTAAGTACCAGTAACGGCAGGAGGAACAATAGTACCGGAGAAGTAGTAGGCATAAGTAGCCTCCATTTCGACATTGGCATCAAAAAACATCTTCAAACTTGCGAAATATGTCTTTCCCGGGCATCTTGTACACGTCAGAAAATTGCAGAGAAACTTTGAAGATCTTTACATACCCTATGCTAGCCTTGAAAAGAAGAAGACTTCGTTGGAATGCCATGCTGAGGTAGCCAAGCTCTTTACTTTCAACAGTGTTCTAACGATAAATATGTCAGCTTGTAAGATAAAACGGATTGTAACTCAATGATACTGACCAATCGGTCGAGCCAGGCAGTGAAAGCTCCCCACCATCTTTTTGCCAAGTTTGTATTGCCCTCGTGATTTATCATTTCCGTTGTTGTCAGACCATCACTTGTGACCACCTTACGTTTCCTCAGTTTATCGTGCTTGCGCTTGGCTGTCTTTATCTTCCCGTGCCACGCTTCCTGTGAGAGATGTTCTGAGTACATCTCACGTTTCTTCTTGGAATCAGCAGCTGTATCAGTAACTTCATCCCAATATCCGAGAAGATTTGTGAAATCTACACGCATATTGACAACATCATCTCGTTTGATCAGATGGAAGTCGTAGTCGAATTTGAGTTTATAGACAGGACTGTCAAGACTTTCTAGTGATCGAGAATGAATGTGATGATCCGGAAGTTCATACTCCGGTTCTGCCAATTCCATTGATACAATACGAGCATAAGGACCTTCACCAACATGACTTGGTAGCCTGATGATTGTGTCCTCGGCTCCTTTGAACCAAACTTTCTGACACTCGGGTGAATCTTGAGGATAATTGCAGTATACGTAAACAGTCTCCTCGGAGTGTTCGAATGTAGCGTTGATGATTGAATGATCAGTTGTCATTATCGTATGCTTTCTGTTCGGAATGTCTACCGTTCGTCTAGCAATAGTGTTGGTAGCTGGAAAATCGTTGTCGAGAGAGCCAGGAGCGCCATCAAGCATGACGAATCCATATGCATCACTACCATCATCTGTATCTGATGCTGACCGGCTCGAATCGGCGTTGTTATTATTATACTCATCATCATAAGCCCACATAACATCTGAATCATCGGCATCGTAATAGTTCTCGAAGAGATCTTTTGGATCAACAGGCCATTTGTTACTGTACGTGCTGGGTGGGTCACAACAATACGAAAAGTCTGGATCGTAGCCGGGCGAGACAGAAACACCATCGCAGCTGATATGACTTTCATCAACGCCTACATTTTGCGGAGGATCCAGAGCTTTTGTGACCTGAGTCTGTTTGTTACTGCATTGCTGAGGAGTGCAATAGGCTTCCGGATCGTATGTGACGATACCAGTCTTAGAATCTGGTGGAGGTTGGTTGGACCAGTTGCAGTTGCTGTACCCATGACCCTTAGGGCAACAGAATGCTCGTTTGAATCGATCATGGAGAGGAGAGCCCACAGCACCATCTACTGGTGATACATATGCAGCGGAACACCAATCGCCGTTGTCTTGATCGTAACGATAGGTTTGGAACTCATAGTCATCGCTACCGCAAGATGCAACTGTGTCAATGGCTAATGGTCCCTGACAGCCAGTCCAGAAGCAGTCGGTAAGGACCTCAGCAGCATCACAGCAAAGATCTCGAGTCCCTGTGTAACAGCTTCCTTTGCCCAAAGCATCGACATAGTCGTCAGTATTCAAGGAGAACTGATCACTTCCACAGGAGCCGCTACAACCAAACTCGCTTCGTTCTGGGGCTCCATTCCAAGCACAGTTTTTGGGCATGGCTTTCGTCGGACAGCAAATATAACGAAACCAGCCTTCAGAACAATCGCCATTGAGATCTTTTCCAGCGGCTTGCTTCGGAGAATGTGCTGTAGAAACAGACATAGTCCCTGAAGGGCACACTTGGTCATTCTGTTTCTGCTTATCCGTTCCATCTGTGCAAGTTGGTGTAACAAAACAGTCCTGGCCAGTGTAAGCACTGAAAGCTGTCGAAAGAGCTGTTGCAGTTCGGTCATCAAGACTTCCACCCTGCAATTGGGTGTCGGAGAAATCACCGAGAAGTCCTGCTAGGGCGGCGTGATCTGCTGTATCCTGATCAATGGCCCAGATCATCACGCCACTGAGACAATGACTAGAGATAAAGCGCTTTTTGTCGGTGAAAGATTGTTCATCATCATACGAAATCCATTGACTTCCCTCGAAAACGTTATATTTAACTGTGGATGCCTCGTCGTAGTAAGTGGATACATCAAGAGAGCTATTTCGGGAAACAATCTCCGAGTAAGATAGAATACCACCAGTATTTGTGCAGCTTCCAGGAAGACCGCTGGTTGAGAAAGTACATCCGGGCTTAGAACAAGAAGCGTCGCTCATCGTAAATGATCTGCCATAGAAAGCAAGGCCAAACACAACATTCTCCGGTTTGACGTCATTGCGCCAAAGAAGACTCAAGCCGTTTTCGATCTCCGTGATATTTGTGTGCCCTTCTAGATATGGACCGGTGAATTTGTTGTGTTGATCCCACATTCCATGCTATAAAAAGGTCAGTCAAATAATTTATTGCTTCAAGACGTTCCATTATGGCTTACCAGATCATAAGACATGAGGTTGAACCAGGAGATGTACTTCTGAAGACCAGAGAGATCAAAGCCACGTAAGTACCAGTAGCTAGTTGGGATAGTAATTGTAATTTCCCAACCAGGCTGATCTGCTTGATCGAATGCCTCACGCATTTGTGAAACCAGAAGCACATAATTGTCTGTATCTGCAGAATTACCACCTCGGTCAGTGGCAGCAGGATATTCCCAATCAATATCGATGCCGTCAAGTCCGTATTTATTCAAAAAATCAATTACAGATTTGATAAACGTCTCACGATTTGTGTACGTGCTTGTCACTGCATACGTATTAGTATCTTGTTATGTCAATAAATCTTGTCATACTTACTATCCGAAAAATATGTAGAAGTTGGAGGATCATTGAAAGCCCATCCTCCAACAGCGATATTTACTCGTAGACCAGAATTTCGAGCCTTCAAGAAGGCAACTCGTGATATTATATCTCCAGAGTCATCAATGAGCTTGAAGTCGTCACCGAAGTTGACGAAAGCAAGATTGATGTGAGTCAAAGGAGACACCAGAAGATCTTCTGGATATACTTGGTCGCAAAGACGTTCGGCAAGATTGAATAGTTCGTAGTAACCAATACGGCGATCGTAGGTCATTGCATCAGTGTTTTCATCACAAGTCTCTGGGTCACTTCTCAAGAGTTAGCTTTCACACGTGCTGAAAAAGACTTCAACATGTTTATACCGGAAATGAGGCTCATTGGAATCGAACTTACCTGGGAATTCCACAACCACCTCCTGCGGTATTGTTCTGACAACCAGTTCCACAGAAGTCTTCTGTGGTACCACAATAACCAAACCGACTACAGCACACATTGATGGGGCAATCAAAGTTTGCTGTTTCTGCGTACTTTCCACATTCTGCTTTGGCATCACAATTACCTTGACAGCCATCACCACAGAATTCTGGACCAAATCCGCAGTTTCCATCGGAACTACAGCAACCTTGATAACATGCAACTGCTGCTGAGCATGTTGTCGATGCTTGAGCTAGAACATGATTGAAAAATAATAGAAAAGATAGGAAAAGAAAGACATATCGAAACATGATTGTAAAAATGATTGTTGGTTCTGGATAGTTCTCCCTAAGACTCAACTACGAGCATTGAGCAAAGAGTGTGATTATGATGCTAAGAACTTCAACAGAAATGAGTTGTGAAAGAGGGACAAGATCTCAGTGCCAAAGAGATGAACAATCCATACGAAGATATTGAATCAAATTCCGAATACCTGGTAGGGATAAATGAAAACCTCCATCCATTCTTCGCATATTTGTGCCCCTCATAGGGATATAGATAGACCGATGTCTGGAAATCAGGAGGCATGGATATGCACAGGGTATCTGGTAAGGCTTACCAGTAATCCCACCACGAGAACAGGCCCAGAAACATCATGTGCCATTCTGCAGGGTATTGACGATTTTGTAGATTTCCCTGTCGTATGAACACCAATCGGATGGTAAGGACCACGGATAAACACCTAGAAATTACAATTTCAGGTCCTTGAAAAGGGACCATTTGTGCCGAGTTCCATAAGAGTTCGTTATGCGCGCTTACTTTGGTGTAACATGATTCTGATAGTCGAGAAGTCAGCATTAAGCGTTGTTCAAAATTAAGCTTACTCTTGGCGAAGACAAGCATCATGCTACACCCGGTTTTATAACGTCTTTCCAAAAAACGTAATCTTGACTGTCTCATCAAAAAATATCTAAATGCACAATTTTGAATTTTAGTTACTTTTATTTTAATCAATATAGTTTTAAATTTAGAAAACTTTTCGAAATATTAATATTTTCAATTAATATTTTCAATTAATAGAATTATTTGTATTAGTTTTAAATTATTTCAAATATTTTATTGTTAAATTAAAGGTAAATAGAATATAATATATAAAATCCGAAAATCCGAAAATCTAAAATTCCAAAAATATTTGAGCCTTATTTTTTTTGTTAAATATTTTGGATTTTGAATTAGCTATTTATATTTTAACAATAAAACATTTGAAATAATTCTATTAATTAAAAATATTAATATTTTTTTTTTTTCTAAATTTAAAGCTATATTGATTGAATTGAAAGTGGCTAAAATTCAAAATTGTGCTTTTAGATGTTTTCGCAAGAACACTGAAATTTAAGGTTTTTGAAAAGACGTTATGAAATCAGGCGTAAAGAAACATTGGATGATGGCACAACGCTTGTCAACAATATCACTTTCCAGAATATGAACCATGTCAGAGTTGTGCCGTTTGGTTAATCTCGCGATGTCGGTATAGCCAGGATCGTGCGGACGAGTGCGGCTTTCTTCCAGTTCCCTGTCGCAATCAAATCATGTAGACTTTTGAATTTCCATGTGGTATCTCAGTCGTTTTTTGAGGTCGTGAGAACAATCCTCAGTCCGCTCTTTAATTTCTACTTTTCATTCTTTTGGAAATTGTATGCTCTTCGGGCGTCGAAATCGATTCACAATGAGGGCATCAAACAATGCAATCTTTTATTTCCTTCTTCAAATATCCATTTTCCAAGATGTATCGGGTATTCAAATCTGGTCGAGTCCTGGTGCTTTACCAACCACGATTCCTGCAAGTTGTCGAGCAGTTTTGAGCCAGAATATCACATGCAATCCACAGCTAATCAACGCAGCATTTATTTCTGCTGGGAGAGCATTAGATAATGTCACAGCCACAGAATACTGCACTCCAACATGCTACTCATCAATAAAGGTTTCGTCCCAACAAAATGATTAGATGGATAAATGATTTTGCTAATACAAGTATAGACATTCAAAACCAATGTCGACCTTCGATGCGGTTCCACGAGTTATGCAATGTATGCGAATAGTACCTTCGAACAATCTGGAGCACAAATTGCAGATCCATTAGCATGGGCGTACAATGTAACTTGTATCGAGGATAGGTAAGTGACTAAAGTTCGTACTACGAGAGCATTTTCTAATGAGAAAAAGCACGGGATTTTGCTTAGCAGACCTCTATAATGGCACGAAAACCGCATGCTCCGATTGTTCCTTGAAATATGGAGCGGCAATGTTGAGCTCCGACTATGGCAGAGTCAAAGTTCAACCAAGCGCGTTTTCATCACTTCTATCATCGTGTGGTACTCCAGCGTCGAGTTATCCTTATACATATACTTCGACGAGTACAACCTCAACATCGTAGGCCAATTTCGAGACTGCTTTGTGTGGAAAATTCACTCACTGTTATAGGACCTCAACTGCAACTTCAACAGCAAATTGCACAGGAACGACGTACACTGTTACTTCTGCAGACACCTGCCAGTCCATCAGTCAATCCAACTCAATTGCTATTGATCGATTGATCGCACAAAATGAACTTGATTACAACTGTACTTCTCTCACTTCAGGTAGTAGCCTATGTCTTGGAGAATCTTGTGCCCTCCAGACAATCACCGCGAATCAGACTTGTGCGGATATTATTGGAAGAAATGGCTTCACCACCATCCAATTGATATCATGGAACCCGTAAGCTTCCTTGTCTCTGCCTTTAATTCTTCACGAAGGCTAACAATCTGACTTAGAACCATCCATTCAAATTGTGACAATTTGGATTCCATGGTTGGCAGAAGTATCTGCGTCTCGTAAGTGCCACTCATTTGAGCCCTCGAAATTATGTCGTATTGATTAAAACTATAGACCTCCCGGAACGACAAACTATACTACAAGCCAGATGAACATTACCACATCGACCCTGTAAGCGTGTAAAATCTAAACCGGCCAGGTGTATCATGAACCTTGAAAAAAGTACTGACGGTGACCTTACCAGATCCTCAATGTTTTCTGGCCCATGGACTACCGGCACAGCAGACATGAATCCTCCAAATATGACCACAGAATGGTATAATACCCAGACTACTTTTCCGGCGGGCGCGACAGGGACATATCTCGCAAACGCAACTTTGTCAAGCCTCGTTGCCGAACGCACTATCTACTGTCCAATAACAGATCAGAACTACACGGATGGAATCACCGAGGCAGACTTACCAGACGCATGCGCTCCCTTGATAGAACCATACTGCTGGCCGAATATCAGTGCTCCTATCCCGACATCGACCAGATTCCCCGCAGTATGTACCCCGACACTTGACCCAACTACAACGTCAACTGCAGCAGCTGTTCCGTCACCTACGGAACCTGAAACTGTCGATACTTGTACCAAGTATTATCAGGTCTTGGATGGGGATAGTTGCTCTAGTATTGCCTCCAATTTTGATATTACACTTGATCAGGTGAGTTATGTCTCTGCTCTACTCGGAATTCCTTTCAAAAGCTGACTGCTAAATCTAGTTTGATACTTGGAATCCTTATGTTGGAACGGATTGTGTTAAACTTTTCTTGGGATACTATGTATGCATTAAGGCATCTAGTTGAGGTTACAGCAATATAAGCAATATGTGAATACTAAGACAACTTTTTGTACTTCTGATTTCTTATTCATAACTGAAGCATAATTTACCTAGCAATTTGACCACTTCTATTGAAACCTGCCATAGTCCACCTTGATTGTGAGTTTACATGTGCAACAAATGCCCACAGACACCACCAACCTGGTAGTCATCACCGATGTCTGCCTCCATCCATTCATCCACCTCGTCCCAGCTACCATCCAACCAGAACCCACCCATCTGCTCCGTCTGATCAGGCGGCACTCTTGAAGACCTCACAACTCTCCCGTGGGCATCAAGGAAAATCAGCAGAAGCTGTTGGGTCTCCAGAGCCTCTGAGTCTTCTACAAGGATGTAGTTCACAACGCAGGTCTTGTGCACCTTGCTCCGCAGGATTCGGAGAACACTCTCCCCCGCTTGATCTGCATGCAAGACATTTCTCATACTTTCAATTAGTTCTACCGGTGCACCTTGGATATCTTCGCCGGCTAAATATGCTTTTGCCTTGTCGAGTTCATCTTCGGCTTTAGTGAGCAGGGTTTGACTGGAGTGCCAGGTTGAGGCATCAGTAGAAACGACAAGCTCAGGCATCAGATCAAGAATTTTTTGCCACTCTTGTCCAAAATCGTAGAGATCTTCATCATCGAGAAGACGATCTTCGTCATCTAGAGTATTGAACAAATCCACATTTTCCAACAAGGATTCATGCGCGCCTTCCGACTGTGCTGAATAGTCCGTCCGGAGCCAAATACATCCAATCTGACCAGGCTCTGTCGCCACGGCTCTTTGAAAAGGGGTACGCCAAGGCTGCAAGATTGTGGTTACTTGATCGTTCGTTGGTGTGATTGATGGTAAAGTGGTCTGAAAGAAGAGTTGAGTTAGTCAATACAACCCAATACAATTTGCCGGTAAGACGAGTTTGGCCCCCAAAATAAGCTTCTCCGTTAAATGGAGCAGTGGATGGCAACAAAAAAAACTTACAGGATCATGATATCCGGCTCCAATGTAAAGACGCACGAGATGTTGAAGTTGATCCGTAGGGGCCGTTGAAGAGCTCGTATCCCAATTTTGCTAGTGAATGAAATCAGATTGATTATGACTTTGGCCCCCAAATTGATGCTTACCAGAATATAGGCTTCGACTGGAATACTTCCCCAAGGAGGCGAAATCTCCATCTCACCCTCATTCAGTGCAACTTCATCCGAACTGCTCATATTGGAATCGGTGTGAAAGCCTTTTCTGGATAGTGGGGAAGAGCTCATGCATGGGCTGAGATTAGTTGATAAAGAAGAGCGAGTTCGAGTACTCCCGGAGGGATGACCTCGGTTGAATGTTTGAAATGGTAAGATGAGACTGGATGGGATAATAAAAATTAGTTGATATTTTGTAAAATTTTCTTAATGAACAGCAAGCAAATGACCAGGCAGGGATTGATAGTCAGCTGAGCTCAGCTGACATCCTGTACCGAGATACAGGGAGACGGAACAAATGTCGAAAGATGATCAGCCTTATCAATGCCCCACTATAAGGTAATATTAAAACACAGTCAGCGTGAGATGATGCACACTGGATAGGATTGGTCGTTGGTGTTGTATTTGATGCACTGCACTCCCAGGTTCAATTGCTTAGTGAGGCACAGCTCCAAGTAATACAACAACATATAATACAGAGAGTCAATTTTATTACACTCATTTTAATACACCCGGTTTCTTAACTAGCTTTCAAAACGTGTTTTACTAATCTTATTGTGACCAAAAGGGTATAAACAGGACT